GGCTGTCTTTACAATCCAGTTAAATAATTCCAACTGTTCATTTAATTATAACATTGTCGTAGCCAGCCTCTATCTTTGGGTAAGAGCTCGTAGACGCATATCTGACTCATGTTGCTAACCGTTTACAATTAATTTCGAAGAGTACAATGCAGCGATAATTTACCGTGTGTATATGTCACTATGTGACATAATATGACATATAAACAAGGTACGATATTGTAATACTAATAACTTGCTTATCTATCGATAAAGAAGAATATAGCAAGGTTTTTGTTTAAGGAACAAGTTCTTTTTCAAGATGTTTCTTTATATAAATAAAACGCTAAATATACAGTGGTATGAATACTATAATGACGTTATCACTTGTCACTTTTGTAACTTCATATTCTTTCCTTCATTCGACACCTCCCCCCAAGCTAGAATTAAAAATTATGACTATAAGTTACTATCGAAGGGGAAGTGCTAGCCAAACATTGCTATAGGCATAGCTGAGTGGTTTCGTGTTCAAGCTAAAGATTGCAACTTAGCTTGGATTTACTAATTTTCTTCAAGACAGGTCTGGTGGTGGTGAATGTTAATTGGCGTGATATGAACGATAGATCGAACTCAGACATTTTGTACATGTGTGTGCCTTTAAATTTAAACATTGTGTTGGCAAGGTTTATTTCAATAAACTTTGGGCTGTTTTTCATTTCATGTAATTTTTTGTTCAAAAAATACGAAACATTAATCTCTGCTAAAAATATTGTTTGAATATATATGAAATTCACATTTAATTCACCAGAGATTGTGTGGTAATCGGTTTCTCAGTAAATACTGAAAATAGACAAGTTCTTCTTTCAATAACCACCCTTAAAAGCAAACCTTCGAAACACTCCAATTAGGCACATCAGAAAGAATACTTCTTTTGATTAGACCTATGCGACTATGTCGATGATATTTCAGGGCACGTGTGTCAAAATTTGATGACTGACTTTTATCGTGGATGGTGGTTTGGCACGTATACCATGTGGATCATATTGGTTATTTCAAGGTTTATAGAGGACATTGGCGGGTAATGTGATTATAGTTATGATTGCATGGATAAATGTGACTTTTTTATATAGGATCATAAGTTTTTTAAATGTATGCCATTGCATTTAATAAACGCAGTGTTTTGGAAGATGTACCCAAAGGCCAGGAAATTAAAAAGAAAACGTGAATATTCCTGATAGCCATAATAAATAATGTTATGACAAAATGGCTTTGCTTGGCCCCAAATGTGGACACTGTTTTTTTCTAAAACAAAACGAAATGGGAGGGAAAACCAGTGGATCCGGGAAAAAACCCTCCAAAAATAAAAAAGATCAAAAATTTAGAAAAATTTTCTTAAATTTTTGTAGTTTTAAGATGTTTCCTATTTTTGTTGTTTTCAATGATCCCGATGGTCTATTTTAACATGCTGCAGCATAGTAAGATCATGCGTCTTATATAGTCGTATAAAAAATCTAAATTTACAGAGCGACAAAAAAGCGGACTGACTACCCTATTGACACAGCAAATATTTTGTGTTCAACAAAAGAAACGCAAACTTTCGTAGAGAACAAAAAATGAAAGTGCGCCGAATGTTAAACATTTTAATAAATAGACGAAAAATGAAAATTAAAAGCATCCCATAAAATTATATGAAAAAATTATTCAGTACGTACGACATGACCATTCATCTGTCAATAACAATGAAAAAATGAAATGACCAAAGTGACGTCATGACTTGCATAAAAATCATTTTTCATGTCTACTAGACTTCATTCAAAATTTCTATGTTGCTACATTAACGCCTTCATTAACAGCTGGCTTTCACTCACGTGTTTTGTCAGAAAATTTAACAATTGTGAAAATTTAGTTTTAAGCTGTTGTACTTGAAAATGCGTTATACTGATAAACCTTTTGCATAAGAAAAGTGTGATTCTTTCTACAAGGACGCTTGTTTCTTGGTGCTTCTGTCTGACTTGGTCGTTCATTAATTGTCCAGTTAGTAACCCTACAGAAAAAGTCACTCTACAAAAAACACGTTGTAAATGTCAGCAAAATGAATTATCAAGAACAGAAATTAAATACATTGAAAAGAACAAAACTTTTATACCTGATTTCCAAGAGTTGTCCTAGTCCGTTTGATCCAGGCGACTTGGTCGGTCTCTTCCTATTTTTTCACTGCGCAGTTTTTGTGTGTATGTCGTAGAAATATATGGTAGCATTTTTATTTGCGAAATTCAATGACCCCTAGCTACTTGCAGCATTGCAATTTTCGTTATGAACGTTAAATGTAATTATCAAAAGTAGTGAATGAAATCCAGCTATTTTCTCACAGCAAGTGACATCCTTCGTTGATAAACAAAAATTGACAAATTTTGTCATGAAAAACAGACTGTTTTTATTTTATTTGGGTGTTTTTCATGATTAAGGCTCAAATTATAGAAATAGACCATCAGGATCCTTTTTAACTATCTCATGCAGATACTCATACAACACTTATTTACTCAACTTACAAACCACAAGACATGAATCGTGTTTTTCCACTCGCTTGTTTTCCATCTTCGTAGAACATATTTCGTTTTTTTAGTCCAGTAATTTCAATATTATGTTCATACGTAAATATGCCAAAGTGATGTCCATTCAATGCCTTTATACCATTCCATAAACAAAGTACTCAACATTGTTAACCAACAAAGTAGCTAGTGAAATCATGAATCGCCATTTCGACAGATTACAATTTACAATGCACTCTTATGGTAAGTTTCAAACAATCGAAGACTTAACATTGTGGTCAAAGCATTTTACAGTGAAAGCTTTCATATTACGAGGCCTGCACAAAGACTAGTTGATTGTTCCACGTAACTCATACTTCTTTATATCGTCAGTAAAAAGACAGATTTACCTTTCTTTCTACAACGTTAAAGTGACTAATTAACCGTTGAAGTGAAAAAAAAACTAATTTATATTCTTTAATTGACGTCATGATTAGAATTTTTTAATGTGATTGGCTCCTTAGGAGCTTATCACCTTTCACAAAGACAAATTCAGTGTACTTATATTCATTGCATATATTCAGTAATGACTAATGTGACATTGAAGAAACAAACTAAAAATCAGCAGCATCAATAAAAACCAATGCGATTTTCACAAGAACAATAGAATCAAGAAGCAAATAAATATTTAACGTCAATGTAGTTACTTACGTTTGTACTCACTTGACTTAGTTTCTCCTCTCCTCTTGGTATCTGAACAACCGAATTTTCTCACAAATATCGGAAAAATCCTCTTGCTGTTGATCGGATTATGCCAAAATTATCGGCTATTACCGAGTAGTGTTGCAAACACTAACCAATCTTGTTTCTTTCTTCTTTTGTAGCGACTTCAGTCCTACGAGCGTATTTTTCTATGTTCTCAAAACGTTTCTTTAAACTCAAAGATTCCAATTCTTGTTCAGTTGCATTCACAGATGTTGGTGGTCTTGATTTTTTATCAAAACATTCAAATACATCGGCAATCATATCAGACGTCTTTCGGTAACTTGTCGTCGATGACAGTTGAAGCCAACAACTTCATTTTGCTCTGCATAGTCAAAAATCTTTATACTTGTCGCCTATGTGTATAGTCTTGTTCCATCTTTTATGAACAACATCTGCTTTCCACGACGCCTCGTGACTTGTATGAGGTAAAACTTGAAGTGAATAGTACCTTTATGCATGGTGTTAAGCATATCATTATATGTATTTGTTCCACATAAATTGTTCGTACTTGAACAAATTATCGGATATCTATCAAATCTAAATTTTGAAAAAAAAACGTATTGTTGCCAAACAAAAGAACTATGCTCTTCATCCATTAATAAACGTAAAATGCAAATGACAATTGACCATTTTTCTGTGATATTACGCAAATCATTAAACCATTAAATAACGCAAATATGAGTTTGGGCATTAAGATGTTGGTGACGTCAAGTTTTGAAACTTTTTATAAACGTCGAGACGTGTTGGAAACAATTGTTTATCACTATGAACTTGAAGATTGTTGTTCAATTATAGAAATGGTGAAATAGTTCGAACCTTTGCGGCTGCGCAAACATAGACTTTATAGTTACAATTGGTTCCGCTCGTTCGGTGAGCGACGAGCTCACATAAATTCATTGATCATTTTTATTTAATTTTTGTGGTGTTAGCAGGCGATCAGACACGATGGTCAATTCTGACATAGCTTACCATGGATTTCCTAATGCAAATTATTTTTATTGAAATTCATGGTAAGCCAACCTAAAATAAATGTATATTAACGTAGAAGACAAGCATTTTTTGTATAGCAAGAGCTGTAGAAGAAAATCGCCTAAAATAGACTAAATACATGAAGGCGTTTCATATTCCTTACAAGAATTATCCGCAGCTTTTGTATAAAAACGAAGACAAAAAATATGTACAAGGTCCGAATTTTTTGCATGCCAACTCCACTCTATGTTCCGGTGCGAATCCTGCCTGTTTCCTCGAAACATTCAACGCTTGATCAAAAGTCCACTACTATCAACGTGAAAGACAGAAAACAAGTGGCGCTGGTAAATAATAGAAACATGAAGAAAAGATGTGAATGGAAAAAACGTGAAGAAGAGATGTGAAGGAGAAACGTGAAGAAGAGAGGTGAAGGAGCGATGTGCAGCTTAGAAGATAACACGTTATGTACTTTTTATATTTTCTTAACTTTGCGAAAAATTTTGGCAAATGCAATTTGAGCCCGCAGTCAATTGCACCGAACCCGGGCGTACTTCGCTTGACGTAAATCATCACGACATTAAATTGCTTTGGAATTTCTATTTAATCTTTTTGTTTTAAACATTTTAATAAAGAGTTCTTCATCCAACGCAAAAATACCAGGGCGGATCTTGAACACACAGACAAGAACCTCGAAAATAACGCTGACAATGAGAGCGTGTTTCGCTCGACCTAAATCGTCTCGATAGTAATTGGTTTTGGAACCTTTGGTAAGAAGGTTTGTATTCTAGAATTATAACACATTAAAAACATTTTCTTCCTGTCAAAATGACACATCTTGTTAAAATCATGCGCTACCACTTTGGGGAAATCTCTAACCATATTGACGACAGTTTCCATAGTAGCAAATTGTGGTTAACTCGGTGGAATGAGTTCCTAAGGATTTGCTGTTTCAGCATTTCAGACAACACTGGAATCAGTACGAAGAATCATTGACAGTTTATCATTGTTATTAAATAGTCTACTGTCTTCAGCCTCATTTTCATTCACAGAAATTGTTACATCATCATGAACGACTACCCCATCTTTATCTTCGTATGTATCCATTTGACTATGCTGTCTCTTTAATTCATTTAATTCGGGATCGTTCTCCCTTGCTTCTCTCTCTTCGTCAAAATCTCCTTCAGAATACTTCAAATCATCACCGACGCCATAGTCACTTGAATTCGGTACACTGAATTTCTTATGATCGTTTTGTACTTTTCCCCAAGCCTTTCGCTTAGACTCAGCTCTTGTCTCCTCTGGATTAAAGGTTTCTATGCTCTCACTGTAACCTATTTAAGAAAATACAAAAGTACGTAAAGGCAACAGCTTCTCCACTACTTACAATGTGTGTCAATGTAGGTAGTGATGTATGAACAACAGAGAACGAGAACTGTCAGTGATGAATGAACAACAGAGACAGAGATCAGTCTTTACATGGCTTTGAAGTGTGTTTTTGGAAAATTCAGTAACATTTTTACAAATAAGAAATGTTACCTCGAAATTGAGTAGTAGCGTTTTGTTTATCTTGACTCATTCGGACATACTCGATTGATCTACGATTCCTTTCCATTGTAAACTCGTTTTGAATCTCTAACATTTTATTTTGCAAAACAGCATTCTGCCTTTGCAGTTCTTTAACCATTTGAATCAACGTTGACATGTCTTGTTTCTTTCCCATTTCTTCCCGGCTCTCATCGCTACATTGGTAGAAAAATCAGGACCGTAAAATACAAAATCCCAAACGGCGCGGGTAAAGTTGTATGTCTTGTTGGGTCTCTCCTGTAAACAAGGTATGAGTGTTTTTCTACTTCGCCATGGAAATAAAACCTCTTCCGTTCTATGTCAATTATCATTTTGCCTAAATCAATTAAAAGAAAATGTTATAAATGTCATAACGATTGCTTTTATTCACCTCATTCATTCATCACCACCTACACGTTATCTTAGTTTAAGTAGTGTAAAATTGTCCCCGTTATCTGTTTTCATTCATCACTACCTACAATGACACACGTTATCATAGTTTATATTCTAGATAGTGCAAAGACTGTTCTCGTTCTCCATTGCTCATTCATCACTACCTACACTGACACGTTATCTTAGTTTATATTTTAGATACTGTAAGACTGTTCTTGTTGTCTGACGTTCATTCATCACTAACTTCATTGACATACGTTATCTATAGGATCTAATTTGATAGTTTCATGAATATCCTTACCGTTTGAATGTGTTTCTGCAGCTTAGCGTGTTGCATAATGCTACTGGTATCATCAATGGCAAGGGCAAGCAGAAGGTTCATAATAATGATAGGCATAACGACAAGAAAACCAACAAGGAGGACCAACTGTAATGGATAAAATGTGTTGTAATCAGAGTGGTCACCGAGAAATGTCTGTTTAAAATCAAACTCTCCCATCGTCATTGTTGCTCCAGTTAAGATAGACACGCTAAACCTCTCAAATCCCTGTCTATCATTCATTATTACTGTAAAAGCGGCAGCAAAAGCGACCAAGAAAAATATTAAGAGACCCATGACCTAAATAAGAATTGTTGATATCATTAAACATTAGGGTAGAGGGAGAAGTCCTAACTTCAGCAGACGAACCTTGATTAGTGTGAACGAAATTTTCTCATCATAAGAATAATTATACCGTAGGAGGCAAACCTTCTTAATACATAATAAGATTTATCCAAGCACAGAATAACGCTACAGAACAGGCCATCCATTGAAAACTTGTCTTTACAGACATACTGTCGTTACTTGGTACAGCAAAGATGAATGTTGATACGTAGAGAACACATTCCAAATAGTTAACTTTGTCCATAAGATAATTGAATTTGTAAACGAATAACTACATAATTAAATAGAGCATGTCAATATCAAGAGATCAAATTAAGCGTAGACATATTTTTTAAATTCCTTTTTAACGATTTCGCCATTCTTATACAGGGGAAAGGACAACAAAATCAGCCCTATACACAAAAAATTTTTGTTATAGGTTTGTAGCTTGTCATTTCTTACAGAAATGTTATAGAAATGAAGGATTGCTGTTGAAGATAAAATGGAACAAAATACTAATACTGCCAATTAAAACTGTAACGTTCATCACTAAATTAAAATAAAACTAAAAAGATAAATAAGCTTTAACAAATAGCAGCCATATTGTTGAGGTCATGCTATTGTTGTTCTGCAACTGCAAGGTTATCAATCACACCTTCACTGAGAAAGCCGATGTTCCAAGGCAAAATACATACGTTTTCATTCTACGTATCATTCTGCTGTCATGAATAAGTCTCATTTTTTGATCGCAGTCCCTAATATTTTATAACAGCTTTGCAACGAGCACAAACATAAAGTGGTATTTATAATATACATGGCTTATACGAGGGAACTTTTACGACCACAAACTGAAAATGCTAACCTGACCGATTTCTTTCAATGTTTGAACGCCAGCAGATATGAGACAGATAAGCATCGCTACCTTAACATTTATCGACGCATTTGGTAATTCTAAACACAAATAGTTTCAATAACGAAAACATAAAACTAAACAAATTCAAGAAAATCGTGAAATAATTAATCTCCTCGAAAATGTTTGCGGGAACCACTGAGTATTTTAATAAAAATACATAACAACGGTAACTCCAAATATCGTAAGGATTTTGATTCAACATTTCTACTCTATTTAGTCATCATCAGGAATGATTATATTACATGCGTGCGCAGTATATATAGACTTTATATAATTTGACCAAGTTAACAGAAACAGATAGTTCACTCGAAGCTTTAGTGCCATGATTAAGTTCCGGTTTTCTACGGATGGGAGTGTTTCTTTGAATAAAGGTTTGACCAATCCTTGCCCTGTCTATGATGTGACAGTTGTTCAACAGGAAGAGAGTTGGGTCAAATTGTTCGGTATTGGGTTCGTCCATGTTAAGTTGTAAGAAATCAGTGAGATGAGTAAATTGTTCGCAGCTGTTGATGTGTTTATAGATTTTTGATTTGTTGTCTGTAGTAGCATATCCGTGTAGTCTTGTGTCGAGGCAAGAGAGAACTATCTGTCTTCTGTCAACTACATCAAAACACATACAGTCTATATATAATGCATACACATGTAACATAATCATTTCTGATGATGACTAAATAGAGTTGAAACGTTTAATCAAAATGTTTACGTTACTTGGAGTTACCGTTGTTATGTATTTTGATTAATCTTCACATTACCATCTTTGCCAACAGACGCCTTATATGAAGGAATTCCAAACGCGTAGACGTTAAGAGAAACCAAAAACAAGAAATAAAACATAAAACTTGTTGTGCACACTTTCCATCCAAATTCCATCCATTTTGCTTTAAGGTATTTACAGCAGACAGGATGACATAGGCATTGGTAACTGCTATTTCGCAACATCGCTTTGATGGCGGTAAATGGCTTGAGTTTTTACCCTCTTGTTTGTAACTGCGAAAAAGGATAACTATAAGGAAAGCCTTGTCGAAAAGGAGACAGAGGATGTACACGATGAAAACAGTAAAATGAAAACACGGTTCTAAAAAGCGTAGTCAGTGGCTATGTCTATACAAAATGTCTTATTCAAATATGATAAGATATAAATAACCCAACCACGTGACTGTTTCATTTATTCAACCTTGGCGACCTTTTGCAGACAATACAATACTTCATCAATACATGGAAGCAATGATGCATAGACTGGTGGTAATGGTGGTGGTGGTGTTGATGGTGGTGGTGGTTTTGTGGTGGTGGTGGTTTTGCATGTGTGGTTGTTGTGTTGGTGGAGGTTGTGTTGATGGTGGTGGTGGTTGTTGTGGTGATGGTTGTTGTGGTGGCGGTTGTTGTGTTGGTGGAGGTTGTGTTAATGGTGGTTGTGATGATGGTGGTGGTGGTTGTTGTAGTGGTTGTTGTGGTGGTGGTGGTTGTGTTGATGATAATGGTGGTGGTTGTTGTGGTGGTGGTGGTTGTGTTGATGGTGGTGGTGGTTGTTGTGGTGGTGGTTGTTGTGTTGGTGGTTGTTGTGTTGGTGGAGGTTGTGTTGATGGTGGTTGTGTTGATGGTGGTGGTGGTTGTTGTAGTGGTGGTTGTGTTGGTGGAAGTTGTGTTGATGGTGGTGGTGGTTGTTGTGGTGGTGGTGGTTGTGTTGATGGTGGTGGTTGTTGTGGTGGCGGTTGTTGTGGTGGTGGTATTTGTGGTGGTTGTGTGGATGGTGGTGGTGGTTGTTGTGGTGGTGGTGGTTGTGTTGATGGTGGTGGTGGTTGTTGTGGTAGTGGTTGTTGTGTTGGTGGAGGTTGTGTTAATGGTGGTTATGTTGATGGTGGTGGTGGGAAATGAGGAAAATATATAGCAATTATGTTTTCTTTGTGTAGAAAATATTGCACCCCAACACCCACCCCACCCTTGGCGGAGCCATTGTAGTAGCTACTTATGAGAATTGTAGCATTCTCAATTTTTAACGTTTTTGAGAACTTTTGGATTATGTTGAGATTCTCAAGTAGATCTTTATTTTCTATATAAGATAGCTTGCTCACCACACCTGCATTTTGTAAACAGAAAAAGTCGTATGCAACCAAATGGTCAATACTCTCTGGGTGTCCTGTGGTATTCATGCTGTTAGAAAGAGCTCGATACGCCACTTCGGACATATTCTTAGAAACCAACTTCGCCATCGTTCCTTCTGTACCATTTTTTGTCTTGAAAATAATCTGAACACAAGTTCGGTGTTGTTCGTAAACGACAGTTTGTCAAAAAACAACAACACCAGTACACTGAAGATGCACAAAATAAGAAATATGTTGAATATATACTTACTGTCAAACCGAATGCTACCTTAATTGCTATACTGATAAAATCAAATACATTATAATGAAACATACCTCTTTCCATCTATCATGACACATCATTACCATAGCGCTTTTTGTATCGTCATTTATGATGGCCCAATCCAAGCAGTTAAAGAACTCATAATCTTCTGTAATTGCCGCCAGGCTATCTAGCAAATACTTCACAACATCTGCTTTGCCTTTCACAGCTGCTGTAAGCAATGCTGTTCGTTTGTATTTATTTTCCCAATCGATCATGGAAGGTTTGAACATCACCAACAATTCAACAATATTAAGATGTCCTTTGAACGCAGCAATGTGAAGTGGACTAAACAAATTTCCATCCCTTAAGTACACAATAAATATTTTACTCAAATCTTTCTTCCCTATCAATTAAGTTAAGACATTTTACAGTTATCTTTTTCTCTGTAAACTTCGTTGATGGCAAGATAGAAAATTACCAACTATAATTGCTCCGTTATTCAGAAGACATTTGACGACCTCTGGCTACTGTAGTTCGCTGCTGTATGGACGGCGTTTTCCCTGTGGCATCGACCTTGTTGATCAAAGCTGGTTCATTGGCTAGGATTAATTCAACCACATCAGAGTTCTGTGAACTAACAGCGCAATGTAATGGCGAACGAGAAGTGTTCGTGAAGACATTCAGATCAGCGTTATATTCTAACAAAATACGGGCACTCTCTAAAATAAAGAAATGAGCCTCCTGTAATGTACTTGTGTATGTCTTGACTTAATTTCAAAGCAAAAGCAACACACTTACCTCAAGAAACTTTTAAGGCGGCATTATGAATGGGTGTATAACCGTCTATTTCTTTCTCGTTAATAAGCAACGGCCCGAGATCTTTTTCTATAACGTGTTTGATTATGATTAAAATTTAAAGCTTCGCTTTTCATCTCCAAACAAAACGATAGCAAACCACGCATACCTTCAGCAAAATTCTCAATGTTTCAGGATATGCAATTGCATAGTGAAGAACCGTTCTATTGCTGTCATCACGAATGGTGAAATCAGCCAATTTAAGCAGTTCTTCAACGACACGAACATGACCGCGTTGAGCGGCAAGGACCAACGCAGACTGAGTTTTCCGTCTTTTCATTGACAAAAATCTTGGATTTTGATCCAATAAGAGACAATATCACTGTGATTATTGATTGCCGCTCTAGAATGAAATAAATTGTCAAAGTGATAACGCCAGGCTTAAATCCAATAGTCCTGAATAATTAAATGTACAGATGATACGAATGAAACGTAAAACCTACTTATGAATCGGGGTGAATCCTTGTTTATCCTTTCTGTTCAACTGAAGTAAGTCCAAATGTGTCATTACATCCACAAATCGAAATAAACACTTCTTCATGCCATTTTGCAAGCCGCATGAATCAAATAACCATCTCCATGTCTGATTTCTTCGCGCAAATCTTCACGAATCACATCTTCATCTTGCAGACAAACTTGTACAGTACGTTCATCCACTGTCCACAGCAACATGAAGTATATTGCGGTAATGACTTCCACCATACTCCTCGCTGAACAATAACTTGCACTCTGCTTTTTTGAAATAGAAATGTTTTATAAATACATAGGCAGCAGGAAGGGGCGACTGTACCTTTCGTTTAAACAAATAACATTTTCACCAGGAGGACAAACGAAAAATCCTTAATCCTTCTGCCGACGACGAAAGTCATTAAGCAAAATACACATATCATGTTGCAAAAATCGTTTTACCGTGTTTCAGGAAAAGTTCAAGCATATTAGCATGTCCTTTGTTAGCAGCGATGTACAATGGACATCTTTCTGTGATATCAACCTCTGTTATCTTTCCACGGTGTTCTAGCAACACCTTGGCGATCTCAACATGGTTGAACGTTGCGGCAAAATGAAGTGGCGATCGGGCATTCACGCTTTCAACATGGTTTACAAGATCAACAATGATGTCATGTTGCAACAAGTTACGAAGAAAAGCTACATCACAAAGAGATAAGGTGATAATGAAAATCTCAGGCACTCATGTTGGCCTCGCACTGAATCAAATACCCCACCCCTCTCCATCTTAAGCCCTTTGGCGTGTTTTCAATTAGTATTTCTATATTGCGGATAATACATTGCTCGGTTGAAGAAAGAATGCTTATTTCATAGCACGTCTCTTACGCTGTTAGTAAATTGCTTTCAAATGCATAAAATAGCATTTACAAAGATGCAGTTTTTAAAATTTTACTTGGGAAGGGTATTTCAGGTCCCTCTGCCACATGGCTCACGCTTTACGGAGTGTCTTGTGGTTGGTGCCTTCCCTGTGTAAAATCCTTAAAATATCCCTTGGCAAAGAGCACAACTATGAACTACCTTGGCCTACAACAAAATTCACCTCAGATAACTTGCTACGCATAGATAAACAACTATATGAATACGTGAATGACAACTGCATGGCAATGGGTAAACTTAGTTCGTGGTTAGTTAGAGTTGGGATTGAGTTAGCACGAGGCTAGTGTAAGAATACCAAGAGGGATTTATACATAATTTCTAATAGGTTGACTACATTTTAAAGCAAAGTCATCCATTACAGCAGTGACAACAAGCTTGATAGTATGTTAATATCAATCAAATTTCACAAAACATTTCAAGAAATTTTGCTTTCAACAACTTATCAAAAAAAAAAGCCTAAGTCCGAATACGCAGCATGGCTTCCAGCCTTACCTACGTCACCCATTCTCGTGGCTACATGAAGTACACTCTCCGTTCTTAGCTATCACACACTTTGGTGTCTTTTACGTAATTAACAAGGAAGTAAGAGAATTAAGACTTCGCGACTGCAGCGTAAAATATACATGGTTGTCCTCTTTCATCAGTTTTCGAGAGTAATCTTTGAACTACAAAGAACATTTAAATATCGAGCTGGTTGAAGGAAAGAGATTAATATTTCATCAACGAAATACAAACTTTCACGGTCACTTTTTCTCTCAAAATATTATTGATCATTCTTTGGTCGTCATAAATTGCCGCAGTTTCATTTGATCAGCTAACTATTTGCATCTTTACTCCCGTTTTTTAACGTCACTCACATCGGGAACGGTCCCTGCTCGTTACAAATCTTTCGTGTCTTGCTCATCAATGGGTTTCAGTCTGGCCAGGTGCAGCACGATTGACTTCACTTGATAAATCATAGTCTACGCTTCTCTTGGGTCGCGGAAAACCCACGTGCCAACGCGATCTCACGTAATTCGCCATTCGTGACAATCACTTGAAAATGCACAAAAATTCCAAAAAAAACAACAGGGGCGGCAGAACTTAGACAATTGGCGGCTCATATTCATATGTTAAAAATCTGTAATCACTTATTGATTTAAGTAGAAACTAATAAAGAGGAAGATGCATGTATGAATACTAAATTATCGATTTTCGCAGCCATACGCATATCCATGGCACATAAGCATGCATGAAGTCATGCTTCGCCTTTCAATAATATCTCATAATACTCTCGACGATACTCTGACGATATTATAACTCGAATGAACAATCAATTCGTTGCAACAAATATACCAATCTTATGACGTAATAATAAACGTTGTCACATAACGATGTAATTTATATGCTGAACAGACACATACCTTTATCAAATTACGTATTGTTAAACTTCATTAAGCAGGAAATTGGGAGCAGACAAAACATCATTAAAATCATCACGTCGTTTATTTGACCATAGAACTGTTAGAAGAGGTTTTGACCGATAAGCAGATAGAATCATACAACCGTTTAACAAAATAACAATTGAGAATATATTTAACAAACATGTGCTCTCTTATCCTCGCGGGACAAAAAGTACATTGGTCACATGATTAATAACGAAATATTATACACTGTGATGTCATTTCCTTTTAACACTCCCACTTAACGATCAACTAAATTACTTATTAAGTTAAATTTGTTTTACACCAAGAAGATCTCAAAACGTTCATACGTGTAGGCTTGCTTAATGGTTTAGTCATAATGTCAGCAATCATTGATTCTGTAGGGACAATACTTTACGCATATGGCGTTTCCTTATTAACTTGCTCTCTAATGAAATGATAGGATATGTCAATGTTTTGTGCGATTAAGTGAAATTTAGGACTCTTGCACAATTGACTGCTCTGATTATCTCGTAATTGTTGCAGGAACAGGTTTCAACAATTCAACATCATTCAGTAGTCTTTAGCCAGATACACTCTTGCAGTTGAACTCAAAGCAATATATTCGGCTTCAGTTGTAGATCTTGATACAGATGTCTGTCGTTTACTACACCAGCTAATCGTACTGTTTTGAATCTGAAAACATACCCTGATGTAGAACGTCTTGTTCCACATCACCACCCCAATCGGCGTCTGAAAAACTAAATCTTTGAATCTTTCCATTTTGCAGTAAACAAGACTATAGTGCATCGTTCCTTTGATATAATCGATACACTCTTTTCACTGCTTGCCAATGATCTATACCTGGTCTGACATATATTTAGATAAAGTTGCGACGGCGGCAGCTAAGTCTGGACGAGTTGCAACAGTTGCATATGTTAATAAACCTATTGCCATTTGATATTTCTGAACATCTACTGGCTTCCTCATTATCAGATAATGATACAAACTTCTTTGACGTATTCTAGTGGTGTTGATACTCGGTTTTGATTCATCCATTCCAAACTTTAGTATTCCAAGCAAATATTGTGACTGACTGGATACTAAGTGTTTTAGCTTTTGACGGTTGCGCTTTCATTGACATTCCCAAATGTAACCTACTTCACCAACATGTCTGACTTTGAATTTCAGCAAGAGATCTCTTTCTTTAGTCAACATATCGTAAAATTAGAAAAACCACAGTACGTCATCCACATACAAGGCCAATATGACAAAGTCGAATTTACCATTTTCGTTTAATGGACTTTATATAGAAACACGAATCTGCATTACTTTTTCTCGATATTCATTTGACAATAGAAACTTGTCGATTTCAGAATTCCAAATATCGCAGCCTGTTTCAAAACCATATATGCTTTCTTTCAATCGACATATAATTTTCTTCTCTTGATCAATATAACCTA